GTTGGCGCAATAGTCTGCATTTGGGTATTGTTTCCTCACTAACTTTCCCCACTTTCTGTTGTGGGTATTCTCCATGTCTTGGCGGATCTTCAAGCACGTGCCTTCAATCTTGGCAAAGATTGGTCCCTGATCCACTTCCAATGTCTCTCTTCTTATTTCTTCAAATCGTTCCCTGGCATCCTGCAACAAAGTTGACCTCTTCCAACGGTGATAATTAATTTGAGACCGTATCAGTGCTCGGCTGGCGCTTTTCAATATGTTCACTTTCCTGGGATTAGTGATTTCAGCAGAAAACCTTTGGGGATGATGTTGTTTTCTGTCGCTCTGCACAGAAAACTGCGGTGAGTTTCTTCCTTGGTGAGCCTGACCATAGTCTTCTCATATCCTCGGAATAAGTCGCTGGTTCCGGGTCTGGACCGGATATTCAACGTTTGTTTGAAGGTGATTGACAATGATAAATTTCATTATTTCGGACTTCCATTGTCTGATATTATATAACATGATTTGAAATCCCTGAACGAACTAATAAAAAAGAAGAATTAAAAAATTAAAAAATAGTTGAAAATGACAATTATATGACAAACTTTACCTGAAAAAGGTATTATAATCCATCCAATTACATTTTCCCACACAGGTACATATTATTTATTGTAAAACAGATAATCTGTCCAATCAAATTTACCTTAATGAGGTCTCAATGATTCCTTACCTGTTCCTACATAAAAGGAAGAGAACTACAATTCTATGCTCATGATGTTAGTGCACTCCATACTGAGTACATCAGTGAGTAAAGTTATTAAAATAATTGCCGACAAAAATTATAGTAGTGAAATGGACACCATGGATTTTGATAGTTGTCAAAAGCATCAGGAGGTAAAATCGGATGGAGATAAAGCGAATTCACCATCAAACGAAGACATAGTGAAAGTTAAAATTGAGGATGAGATTGACGGTGTTCACGAATATGACACAGGGAAAATGAAAATTGAGGACGATATTGATATCATTTATGAAAAACTCAAAACGGAAAGTTTCGAAAGAGGAACATCAGCGGAAGTTAAAATTGAGGATGATATTGATATCGTTAAAGAAAAACGCAGAACTGAAAGTTTCGAAAAAGAAGTATCAGAATGTGATTTCCAGAGACAAACTTGCCGCAATACTTTGCAGCCTCCTTTTGAATATGACAAAATCAACGTGAAGAATGAGGTTGTTAGTGGAGCGCCATTCGATGGGAAAAATGACGCCGTTGAATATTCGAGGCATATTAGTCAAGAAATGACCTCCAGTTCAAAAACCAACAAGGAATTGACGTCATTCAAGTGTGAAATATGTTCAAAGTCCTTCACTCGGAGGAGCAGTGTGACACTTCATTCACGAATTCATTCTAAAGAAAGAACATTTCATTGTGATACCTGTCCAAAATCATTTTTGCGTAAGGATCATTTGAAAGTTCATAAGATGGGGCATGATGCAATTAAACAGTTTCAGTGCGCTGTTTGCTCAAAATCCTTCATACATAAATGTCATTTGACAGTTCATTCCAGGATTCATTCCCGGGAAAAAATATTCTCTTGTGATGTCTGCTCAAAATCCTTCTTACGTAAGGATCATTTGAAAGTTCATAAAATGACCCACGATAGTATAAGAAAGTTTCGTTGCGCTCTTTGCCCAAGTTCCTTCGTTTTTAAAGTCCATTTGACACGTCATTCAAGTATTCATTCTGAAGAAAGACCATTTGCTTGTGATGTTTGCCCAAAGTCCTTCAGTATAAAATCTTATTTAACTCGTCATAAAAGGACCCATATTTGAAATTTATAGTTTAATTCTCGAATCTGTCCAGCATTACTCGATGAAGGGTTTTAATAGAATATTTAAGAGAAAATAAATGTAATACAATGCCGTATGATGATTTTGTTTTTATTGTACCTACTTTAATTGTAATTATCTTAACCACTTGATTCTTTTCTGATAATGCTCCAAAAGTGTTCATGTGTGTGTAATACAAATTCTTATATACTTCGAAAGGATCCTGTATTACCAACTGAATGAGTTTCAGTTTGTAATACAGTAAAGGATTTCCGAAACTACCAACAGCTTTCGAAATCAAATCAAAAAAATCAAAATATACTTTATTGTCCGAAGATTTGCATCTTATTGACAAAGTTCAAGAAATACAATGTTAATATAGAAAAAGTACTAAAAAAGTATAATTGTAGAAATAAAAAAGTTCCAAAAATGTATAAATGTGAATATAAAAAAGTTCTGAAAATGTATGCATAAAATACCACCATATATAAAGTGATAATACAAAGGATAAATTGCTAATATATTGCGAATATATTGTTAAAAGGATTCGCTAAAATACTCTTCCAAAGATATGTTAATCATAGATATGTCATTCATATATAGCAGAAACAGAATAGGGCCTACAACAGAACCCTGTGGTACACCAGATTCAATAGCACTGTTCTCCAAGAGTTCAGTTGTACTCACCATTTGACTCCGACCTGAAAGGTACGATTTGAACCAAGTGTTCGTTACACCTCTACATCCATCTTTATGAAGTTTTTTTATAAAAATTTTATAATTGACGCAATCAAATGCCTTTGAAAAATCGCAAAGAATTATGGTGGCTACTTATCCAGCATTCAATTCAGAGTACTCTTACATATTTCTTTGTTTAGTCATAGTTTAGAATTTGGCAATATCACGCACAAGGAACATTTTTTTAAAATGTTGCTTCTGTAATGCCTACGTTTATCTACCGAATCTCTGTTATAAACATGTGATCAATATGGTGAATAAACATTATTATTATTATTATTATTCTGACAGTGTTTCACTTAAAAGACTATACAATTTTTTATTATTCAACTGATACAACAAGAAAATACAAAACACAAATGTATTTAATTTAAAGTAGATGCTCGAAATGAGGACCATCCTGTTGAATACAAGGATCCACTCTTTCTCTATGAAAGACTCAACTTTCATTTATATTTGATATCATTTGAGGCGTCACTCTTCGAAAAGCAGCCCTCATTTTCTCCTTCATATTCTCCAGTGTGCTTGGAGGAGTCTCATGAACAAAGACCTTCTAAATGATGTATCACCCGACCCCCATGTCATTGAAAAAAATAGAGGGGGGGTAGTACCTGACTTCAAGGGGGTGAGGTTTCAGGTATTATCTCCATATTTTCGATCACACGTCCGTTTCTTACTTACAGGGGCTGTCAAGTTTCCGTTGGAATGCCCTGTATATTTTCCAGAATCTGTTAGACTGAGTTTTTTTTTATCAAATCCATACGAACAAATGAAATGATATTGTTATCAGCACTTACATTTCAATCACCAGTATTTGGTGACAGTTTTTTGTGTCACGATGACTCCGGCAAAACAGAATTGTGTCATGTCAAAGTAAATATCCATTGCATCTCATCTTATCACTATTTGCAGGAGAATATTATATAATTCATGACTAATGGTTTCAAGTGAAAAACTAATACATGAATGATACATTAAATGACAAACAATATCATTTTTGATTTATTTCAACAAATTATATCTCAACATATATTCTAAAATCAATACGCCTCTCAGCAACAAAGAAAACTCTAATATTATATATAGTAACACATGGATCAATAAGTCCCGAGACTAACAATGAAAACAACATTTTTTTTACAAAATTTTTTTTTATTCATCAACATAATCTCCTTTTAGGGTGATACAATGGTTCCAACGCTTTTCCAATTTTTCAATACCATGTTTATAAAAAAATGTATCTTTCGTTTTCAAGCAAAGGTTAGTACTCTAGAAAGACGTGGTTACTGGTTTACTAAGAGCGCCATCTCTGGGATAGTCTCGGGACTTATTGATCCATGTAGTATTTCATGTTCTTCTTGTGATTCAATTGACATTGGTGAGACCAGTCGTAATCCATCTAGAAGAATCACGTCACATAAAAGTTACTGCAGACTCAACAGAAGTTCTTGTGGATTGGCTGAACAATGAACATGTTATCTCTTCAGATCATGTTATGGATTATGAAAATACAAAAATTTCAGCAGTTGAAAGCAATAAAGTCAAAAGGCTATTTCTGGAAATGGTTCTTGCCCCCCAAATATGAGTTGCAGTCCTCGTGGTTCTGGTTAACTTTCAGTGGAAGAGCTTTATGAAGCGAGAGCCGAATCGATCCCTCTACGAAACTTTTTTCACTTGGGAGGATCGATCACAGCTTGGAGAATGATTCTTATGCAGATTATGTTAATCTAATAATAACACTGATGATCTTGAAACAAGACTCAACCTCTGACGGAAGCACCAAACTCTTTAGAAGGTTCGTAATAGATGAATACTTGAATCTAGCAGACCAATATTATGATATTCCTGCAAGCATTGTTCACTATGGTTCTGGCGTTGAATTTGGTCATTATTACGCCTTGGTCAAAGATGAAACGGACTGGTTTAAGGATCACCAGGATCACCCTAGGCGACCTTGGGATGCTGGCGCCGTAAAAATATCTGGTGATGACCAGGAAAAACCTACGTCTAATAGTTGGATTTCTGACTGGCCACTGTCATCTAAGAGAACGCCTCCATATTATGGGGCTAGTGGACACACCTCTATGCAGGATGTGTGAACAGGAAGATGAAACTCTCAGGCATGTCCTATGCGAGTGTCCGGAGTTATCGTCAATAAGAGAGTGTGTGTTCGGCGAGTCTTGGCCTACAACTGCCGATATAAAGGAGATGTCTCCCAGTGACCTGTTTACCTTCTTGGAAAGGACAGGATAGACGATGACCTAGGTGGACAACTCCTCGGGAGGATGTACAATGGGTCACATGTGGCCTAAGTGCGTGGGCTTACACTCACCCTCCCTTCTCTACATATACAGAAGTGATCTACGACGGCCCTGTCCCAATGATGGCCCTCTTATCATATTTTGATAGGTGCAAGGTGTGTTGCCTATATTTAGTATTCAAGATAGTCGGCCTGGCAACAGCAGTGCGCCTGTGAAATTCCGTACGGAAACGTCGTTCCATTGCTGCATTATAGCAAAAAATGAATCCGGTGAGTACTGATGTAAGGATGGCTAATTTTGAAGTGAGTATTTCTTGACAACCAAACATAGTACGAGGATTACAAATTTGGTGCTTGGAATGTGCTTATATGCAATGCATACGTTTAATCGAAGAGTTTGTTCAGGTTTGCTTGTAAAGAAATATCCATGAGTGTTCCTTTGATGGTCCCCAGGCCATGGAGATCGTCATGCGCACTAAATATTACATTTGTGTATAGATACTCAACTATCATTTTACAGAAAACAAGTCAAAGGCAAAAGTGGAGCGAAAATGATGTGACATCAGCTACAGATTCCGTGATGAAAAAAGACATGGGATACACGCCGACAGCAAAAACCTTTGGAGTACCTCAAATTACACTGAGTAGGAGATTTTCTTAAAATCAAGGTGGCAAAAAAGGATAACTGGGAGGATTCAAACCTACGTTCAATACTGGGGTTGAGTCTGAAATTTGAGCACACATTGTTTTTTTGATTAACAATCCTAGTTGTGATGCAATGTTCGGAAGAACAAATCCAGTCTAATCTTCTTCTTGAAGATGATCATTTGGTGACCGAAACACGCGTCGAGGTGTTGGAAATTGTTTTATAATTTCATGGAGTTGCAACACTTTTATTTTATTGGTATTTCATTATCACTCACAAAATGTTAATTGATTATATTGGACGAGCCGTGAATATAATACAGTTGTAGGCAATAAAAGTGTTTTATAAATTTTTCATAGAAACGTTTACAAAATAAAATTATAAATACATTTTGAATTAGTCACGAAATTATCACAGGAACGTTTCAACAACTAACTTATAAAACATAGTTTCCTATAAAAGCAAATTGTTTTGTAGAAGTTTCACAGCACTTTTCTGTGAAGTTTGATTATTTTATAACTGCTTCCTGTAGCTTTAATAAAAGTATTTCATTAGAATGATTTCAAATACAATTTTGTTTAAATTACCATATTGTCACTTTGATGATAATTTACCAACTATTTTATAGTATGGTATATATTCACTACAATTCCAAAACAATCAAATAACTGTTATAAAATCAAATTGCTTCCGCTAATTTATATTTGCTGTCTCCAAAAATAAAATGTATCACTTAAGAAGAACCAGCTTAGATTGATTTTAGAGGTCGTGTAATGAAGTATAGTTTGTCAAGTTCAATTTGTCTAGCGTCCCAATAAATTTATACCTAATAACGTTGTGTAATATTGGTCATTGGAAAAAAATTAAGGAAACTGGTTCGTTTTAGGTGAAGACTCACGTAACGTAGTGCTTCAATTTTGTTCTTGCTAAAACATGATTATTAATGATAAAAATCTGTCGATTTGAATGGAGCACCATGTTTATATACACTCAAATCACTAGCTCAAAACTACTTCAAAATTCAGCCTTCATAATCGATGGAAGAAGCTTCTTCGGCAAAACATCCCTACAGATAATATTTGTCCAAACAATACCTGAGAAATCGAGTCTTCATTTTTATAGAAATCTATAGCTTTAAAAGTAGTCCGACTATGGTGCAATACCATCACTCCTAGAACTAACTGTTTCTTAACAGTTTTATAGGGGTAATAGAACCTGAAATACATTAAAACTCTTGCTATTGATACCAAAATATTTTAAAAAACGACGCCATTTTGAAATGATAGCAATTCGTAATACTGACATTAGATGAGTTGAAAATATGAAATACTGCACATATAGTTAGAAAAAGTTCTAATAATGTATAAATCTAGATATAAAAAAAGTTCCAAAAATGTATAAATGTAAATATAAAAAAGTTCTAAAAATGTAAATGAAACACTACCATGTAAAAAGTGGTAGTGCAAAAAATAAATTGTTAGTTTATTGTTGAAAGGATTCACCAAAATACTATTCCAAACTATAATAGGGTCTATGAACAAGTAGATTCTTCATCTCTTTTTTGAAATGAATGTTGCTTAAATTTGCAGATCTCATTTCTAATGGTAAATCATTGAACATCTTACCACCATTGTAGTATATGGAATCCTTGATTATATTCGAAGTTCGAATGAGAAGTCTAAAGGTATAATTTATTACGAGTAGCATAAGGAGTAGAGGCAAAGTTGAACTTCGATTTATGTTCATTAAGGCAAACCGTCTCTAGGATAAAAAGTGCGACGACTGTTAAAATTTTATTGGCAGTGAACAAGTTATTGCACGATTCTCTAGATTTAGTTTACAGATACATCTTAGTTCCCTCTTCTGTAATATCAATACAGAAGAGAGAAGGGATGAGTTGCATGCTCCCCAAAAAGATATTCCATAACGTAGTTGAGATTCAATAAGTGCATGGTAAACGGTCTTTGCGATATGGAAGTCCAACTCATTTGGAACCACTCTAACTGCATAACATCCGGACTAGATCTTACTCTTGAGTTGTTCAAGGTGTTCATAAAATTTCCACCTATTATCAATGAATACACCGAGAAATTTTGTGTTTAATTTATTCTGTAATATAACAGCGTCTATTGTAAATTCATCCAGCGAACATTTAAATGATATTATATTCGTTTTGGATGCATTGAGAGAGAGAGAGAGAGAGAGAGTAACTTTGCATCGCACCAGTTCTTCACCTTCTTCAAGTCGGATGATATTATTTTATTTAGCTCCACTGAGTTTTTTTATTCCACAGTATTGTAGTTTCATCCGCGAATAGAGTGAAACTACCAGATATGTCAATCATAGAGATGTCATTCATATGACATCTCTATGATTCATTCATATTCAGAAATAGAATAGGGCCTAACACAGAACCCTGTGGTATACCAGATTCAATGACCCTGTTCTCCGAGAGTTCCGTGGTCACAATTTGATTCCGACCTGAAAGGTACGCTTCAAACCAAGTATTCGTTATGTAATAAGTTGGATATATTATTTTTCGTTAAATATTGACTGCCAAAACAAATGGGGTTTTCATAGAAGAAGGGAACCTTTATCAGCTTTCAGAAATAACTTTAGGTCAACAAGAGCGAAGCCAATCAAAGGAAAAGTCGTTCAAATTAACTGCTTTATGTTTAAGAAATCTGATATTTCAGAACATTCTACCTCATCATTCATTTCATTATCATGACGTTAAGGGTCGAAAATATATTCTTTAGTCTGTGTACCCCATTTAGAATAATAGTCAAAAAGTATAATAAATATCGAAATTCATGTTATGAGTTCAAAGGTTTAACGACATGCTGAAATTGAGGCATCCGAGATAGTCTACATACCTTTCATTTAAGACAGAGAAAATATCAAAATAACCCTTGCCGTGACATCTATATATATCAGTAGCAGGCTCACGACATTAGAAATACCGGGAAACAGTCGGTAGTTCTTGCGGACTTATTCGTTGGACATGTTGAGGACGTTAAAAGTACCAGTCTCAAAAACAATTTCATACTTTCTGATTGGTGGGAATTTTTACATCCCCTAACAGAGTCAATTGTAAGTATACGGACTCTATGAAATAAATGTTGAGTGGGGCCATCTTGAGTGTTGTTGAAGCATTTCAAATATTTGAGGATAACTTCATCAACTCATATCTCACTGGGTAAACACAAACCGTTTTTCAAATGTACCTAATATTTGTCTATATTGAATGTAAGTAAAAAATATTTTTTCTTAATTGAAATTCGGTTGAAATAAAGAACTGATAGTGTTTTTTGGGTTTATTAACGTAGTGCTGACAAAAAACAATTGACGATTCATTTCAAAAAGCGTATGTTTTTAAATGAGATACCCTGTATATTGGTACCTCAATCGATTGCCAAGTTGTGAACTCAAGTTGTGAACTTTGAGGTGATCTGGAAAGTTTGTAGGCTAACGCACAGATGGCGCCACTGGTATAAAGTCCATTTAACTTTTAGCATAGTATAAAGATAATGCCGGAACACTTGGCACATGTGCTCATATATTAAGTATTCTTTGGTTCATTGGATATGCCAGACATGAAACAAATGTCAAGTACCCGTTGACAAACTTGTTGGACTACATTATCGATGCAGGTAATCAAAATGGAAATGAGGTGGAACCTCATATCATTGACTGAATACGCTTTAGTTCGTGCAAAAAACTCCTTAAGTTTTGTTGATTAATTATTATTTCAATGTATATTATATGTTTTATCAAATTTCCACAAGGTGTTATTCTTCAATAAATCTTGTGATACGGTTTTTCGTACATATTCTGTAATACAATTGACTTCTATTATTGTCCCCCGTATCACCCCCTATATATCAATTGAATCATCTTCTTCTATTGTTTTCATAATGTTATAAAAATATTTTTTTCACTCCTCGGATTATGGCTTTATACGTAACCCTCTGTATTGTCTGCAATTATTGGCAAACGGTGCTGAAAAGACACAAGACCCATAAAAGAATTGCTAGAGCGCATGATACAATTTCCGAGAGGCATGAAGTTGCAAAATATCATGGCCTATTTCTCCAACTATTTTGCCAACTTTGAGCAATTTTTTTCTCAAAAACTGTCCATTATTTTTCGTTATGCCCCTGGAGACTATTGATCAGGACATTGCAAAGTTCATCATACCAAAAAATCAGTAGAATTCACCAAAAGCTATTTTCCATAAGGTCATACATCGATAACAGTAGATAATGACATTCATTCGCTAATTTTATTCAATCCCAGCCACAGGAATCTTGTGTAAATTGAAAGGGGTATTTATTATTATGTTGAGTCTCTCCTAAAAATATAATCCTTTCAATTTGTGATATTGATGACTTATTTATTTTGCGAAAATTCATCTTCAAATAAGTGGAAATCAAACAAAGTGTTTTATCTATATCATTTAATTTCCTTTCAATTTAATTAACAAATATGTGTTGACATAGCAGAGTTGACATAGAACACAACTTCACATTGAAATGTGCGCAGAAGAATGTGCGAAAATATATATTATGTAGGATCCCATCTTCAACAGTTCAATGAATGCTTTATCCGAGGCAGCAATTCGATTCGTGCTAATACTTAACAGCTGCCCTGAAGCGAGAATAGTCTATACCTTCTACAAATAAGGGTTTAGCATACAGAAGAATATTCATTGATGAGGAAATGGACAAATAGAGGAAACAAATTATGTATGTAAAACAAGATACTTTTATTTCTCGGACAAAATTTTTGTTACAGTCAATGGTGTATTAAAAAGAGTACTGGTCATAATAACGCCAAACCTGAAAGCTGGGACCAAAACCACAGCCCAAAACTAAGAAGAAGAAGAAGAATGTGAAAATGTTAAATGTTAATAAAGTAATGTTAAGATGAACATTAACCTACTAACAATTAAAGTTATAATGTAATGTAAAATTAATCAATGCTGTATGAAGTGGAATGTGCGAAAGTAATATCGTACCTTTTTGTGATAATGTTAATTTAGGCTGCATGTTTTCACCCTAAGTAAACAACTTTTCTAAAGTGAGTTATTCTTCTGCCAGTTGTGAAGTTTCAGCTAATTAGGCAAGAGCAACACACATAGTATTACAAATACAAGACGTTTATAAATTTTTAACGACTTCTATTATACAAAAAGAAGCATGAATAAAAAAATTAGCTTCGGTAAAATAAGCTCAAACTTTGGGCAAAACAGCAAAAAACTTGAAGTGACTGGTTCGATAGGAATGTTTGGACCTCCAAAGGCGATTGAAACACTAGAAGACGATAAGGAAGGAAAACAACTGAAAGAAGTTATGGGTATCTCTACGTTCGGGAAGAAAGCCAAGACTTTTGACATCATGGAAATGATTGCTCAGGTCAAAGCGACGGCCAGAGAAATAACAAAGAAACCCGAAGAAGATACCTTTTCAGAAAGTGAAGACGAAGAAGATTTTATTGGTCCTCCTATTCCTCATAATTTCACAGCAGACAATGATGAGGGTGAAAAAATAAAAAAGAAAGGTCATAGTGATGAAGATGAAGACAGTGATGACTATGAAGAAGACACTCAATCTGATGGTCTGTTTATACCATGTTCCCATGAAACTCAAATGATCCATGGAACCAAAGCTGTTACAGCTATGAGTGTAGATCCAAGTGGAGCTCGTCTTGCATCAGGTAGGTACTTAAATTCTGATATAAGTCATGAAGCCATTTGACTGAAATTTCAATAAAAAAATTAAAAGCTAGTGGACGTTGAATTCCAGTGTTCAGGTGACGCAAGGAAAAGGATGTACTAATATCATTTTGTTTAGGTTCTGTGGACTACGATGTAAGCTTCTGGGATTTTGCTGGAATGGACTCAAACATGAGAAGTTTTCGAACCTTACAGCCTGCAGATAATCATCCTATTCGAGGTCTTCACTACTCTAATACTGGGGACTTGCTACTAGTTATTTCTGGAGCCAGCCAAGCTAAAGTCATTGACAGAGATGGCTTTGAAAAACTCGAAACAGTAAAAGGTGACATGTATATTACAGACCAAGCCAGGACCAAAGGACACACTGCTGGACTTCTTACAGGGGTTTGGAATCCCATCACCAAAGAAGAATTTTTGACAACCAGTGCCGATGGGACAGTGAGAACTTGGGATTTTTATGAAGGCGGAAAAAACCACAAAAGCATCATCAAGTGTCGGGCACAGAATGGTTTGAAAGTTTCACCGACGGCAGTGAACTATAATCGTGAAGGGAAAGTTATTTCCTGCGGTTGTGCTGACGGGTCTCTACAGCTTTGGGACTCACGGAAGAGCACTGTAGCCCCTGCAATGCAGATCAGGAAGGCTCATCAACCCGTTGAAATAACGAGTATTTGTTTTTCTCATGTAGGAGACTATTTACTTACCAGGAGTTGTGATGAGACCATGAAGCTCTGGGACGTCAGGAACTTTAAACAGGCTGTTCACGAAGTTGGAAATTTGTTTACGAGATATGATACTACAGATGCTATTTTCAGCCCGAATGATGCTATTGTTGCGACTGGAGTATCTTTAAAGAAAGGTTAGTTTTTAACGGTGAAGTTTCTTCTGTGTTGAGGAAGAATGTATCTTGCTCAAATTTGTTCCCAATTGTAATTTTAAAAGGGCTCTTATATTTTCTCTTTATTAATAAGTGCAGGAAAATAAATAATTTGAAATAAAATTTTGAAACATTCATCTCTCCCAACTCCCTAATAGTAGGTTCTGGTAAATGTCTGCCAGAAAATAAGCACTTCTCCAACTAATACCACACTGAATATTGAATTATGGTATGTTGCATAAATGTCTGTTGGATATAATTCAATACCCAGTGTGGTATCAGCCAGGGAAGTATTTGTTTTCCGGCAGGTATTTAACAGAACCTACTGTGTAAGTAGTTGGAAAGGATGAATATTTCTATATTTCATTTCAAAATATTCATTTTGTTGTACTTATATATGTCCCCTCAATAACAGTCTTTAGACACGTTTTGATCTCTGGTAGAGTATTGGTACATGGGATGTTTCTTCCCCACTTGGAGCTTTGTTCAAAAGATGGAGCTGTTACTAGTTAACAGTCTGTCTCTTAGAAAAAAGTTTCATACATGCAGTCGAGTCCCTTTGAAATGAATCAAATCCCAGGCAATTTGCTGTTTGGGTCGGATCCTTCCTGCACTGATGAGAAGCAATACCTCGAAATCGATTTGTTGGTGATCTACTCGAATAATTTCGGCATGGTCCTGCTGCTGTATGAACAAAGAACATCAGCGATATTAACCTGTGGGGTACTGCATAAATGTCTGCTGGTTTTTGAAACCAACATTCAACATGTAATCTTTCCTAGTAGGTTTTTATGAAATCTTTCAAAATCAATTTTATATATACATGCACTTGTTTGTATCAGAGTAACTTGAAAACAATTATATTTTCTAGGTGAGAAGGATGGCATGGTTTATTTCTATGACACTACGAACTTCAAACTCATCCGGAAATTAAATGTTTCCCAGTCACACACCATAAAACTCTGCTGGCACCCAAAACTGAATCAAATATTTGTTGGTGGTGGTAACGGAATCGTCAAGTGCTACTACGATGAAAAACTGAGCTTGAGAGGTGTCACTTTATGTGCGGTTAAAATGCATCGTAAAGCGCAGCATTCAGAAATCGTCAGCACAACGCAAGTCATCACACCACACGCTCTGCCACTGTTCAGGCAAGAGAGGAGAAAAACCAGCAGGAAGCAGATGGAGAAGGATCGGCTAGACCCGGTGAAATCTCACAGACCGGATTTGCCAATCACCTCGGGGCAGGGTGGCAGAGTTGCTTCCAGCGGGGGAACTCTCAGTAGTTATGTTATTAGGAATCTGGGATTGAGCAAGAGGGTCGAGGATGATCAGGATCCCAGGGAGGCTATATTGAAATATGCGAAAGACGCTGAGGAAAATCCTTATTGGATTACTCCTGCTTATAAAACTACTCAGCCCCAAGCTTGTACTAGCAAATATACCTCAGAGGAAGAACCGGAACCAAAGAAACCACGAACTGAGTGATTTTAAAAGTTGAAGTGAATTTTGTATATATGTATATATTATTATTAATAGAAGTGGATGAATTTTTTTTTACTCAAAATATGTTGTGTGTTTCTTGGTACTGAAAATAAGTTATTTGAAAAACAAATTTTTTGTCTTTCTCTTTCAAACATTAAACAGTGAATGTACCAGAGAAAGTAAGAAAGAAAATAACTTCAATAGACATGAACGTTTCTTTAAGGTGAAAACTAGATGAAAAATTCCTTTCCAAAACAACTACTTTCACGTCAACATTAAACTACATGAAAGAAAGAAGTCATATTTGAATAACACAAGCTGCAACAAGCAGAACACGTTTCTCTATACATCAGCTTTCTCAAGCATTTACATAGGAAGGAGTATGTTAATCTAATTTTGGATGAAGGGATTCATGACATGTTTTGGATTTACTAAACATTATCATGTCAGTTCTATTCATATAAAGTTCCAAAGAGTGATTTGTCTCTCTTCTATAGATACTTTCACAGGAAGTGTTCATGTGACTTGGCACATTTTATTCCTCCAAGAGCGGTACATATCAGAAATATGTGACGGACTGTGGCTGCTCATCGTTTTGAGGTTCAACTCGGTACACCTCGAACTTCACTGTTTAAGAACTCTTTCATTTGGAGAACATATAACACAAGAACCGGCAAACTTTCTTTTGAATACAAAGGATTTATTGATGATATAGTAGGATTTAATTGTCATTTTTATGAATCCCATCATTGCCTAACAGCTTGTTGTAGAAATGGTACAGTATTGTCATGGAAAACTATGACACACTTTAAAATATCTGAAAAGGTAAGTTAATGCAAGCAATTTTTGATCTGATATAACAAGGGGGTAAAAAATTGACTACAAATAGAATTTTTGCCTAATAGTAATGAAGACTTACTTTTATTGACAAAGCAAGATTTGTGTAAAGAGAGTCAAATGTATGGTAATACAAAGTAGGTAAAAAAGAAATTGTAAATATAAAACAATTATTTACATATTCCTACACTAAAATTAACCATATTATTTTTCAAACAATTTCTTAAAATTTCAATTCATTCATGAATAAAAGAAAAACTGGAACCTATGCACAATCATGTCGCAGAAATTGCAAAGGCTGCTTCTCAAAAGCTCAGCAACTTCTCAGCAACTTTTGATGCTTCATAAAGCTCAGATCAGACATTTTTTGGAGTATTGTTCTCATGTATGGTGCTCTGCCCCCAAACATACCCTGAAGTTGTTGGATTCCATCCAGAAAAGAGCCATCCACCTGATTGGAGACACGAACATCACGTGCAACCTTGATAGCCTGGAACATCGAAGAAAGTTTGGAGATTTGTCTATTTTCTATAGATACTTTCAGGGGAAGTGTTCAAGTGACTTGGCACATTTGATTCCACCAAGTGCGGTACATAGCAGAAATGTGCGACGGACTGTAGCTACTCATAATAATAATAATAATGTCTTTATTTCCAATGAAAAATAAAATGCATGATATTCATCTTGTTACACAAAAATCCCAAGGGTGAGTTCACCCGAGGGTGCTCTACCACTCAACCCTTGCTATTTTAAATAAGCATATTATAACTTGAAAACTAACCTAACTAATCCTAAAACCTAAATTTTTATTTCACAATTTTTTGACATTTATCATTTGTTGGGTCACCTAAATATTCACCACCAATAACCAAGTGGAAAAAAAGAAAGTTGTATGAGAGATAACGAAAAATGACTACTTGTGAAACACAGATTATAGAAAAAAAAAAGGGGTATACGAAACGAAACTGCATCAGAATGTGTTATCTTGCAGGAAACTTTTAAGCTCTTTTTTGAATTTATATAAATTACTATAGTGTTTTAGCGAATCGGGAATAGAATTATAAAGATGAAAAATCGAATACGAAAAACTTCTCTGGAAAATTGCGGTCTTGTGTTGTAGGCATGTGATTACATTTTTGTTTCTCAAATTTATGTTGTGTACGTCTGTCCTGAATGTTATTTTACGATATAAATAAGGCGGATTTCTGTATAATATAATTTTATGAAATAAACATAATGAATGAAATTTGAACCTATCTTTCATGTTAAACCAGTTCAGTTCCGCAAGCTTGTGGGACACATGTTCATACTTCCTAATTCCATATATATAACGAATACAAGAGTTTTGAACACGTTGTACAAGACAAGGTCCATAGACCGGAAAACAATAATTGAATTGTGCTAAAACTAGAGACTCGCATAACATTTTCTTTATAGGTACATTGAGGTACATTTTGTGAGGATATAGTAATCGTAGTGCACCACCATAGGCTCTCTGAATATTTCGATTGATATGTTCTCTAAATCTTAAAGACTCATTTAAAATTAAACCAAAATTTTTTGCATTACTTTCAAATCTAATTACTTCATTATTCAGATACAGTTTCAAGTTATTTTTAACTGATGCTACATGAGCATTGCTTCCAAATATTAGTGCTACTGATTTTTTTGGATTGAGCACAAGGGAATGCAGTTCGGCAACATTTGATATGGTTTCTAAGTCATTGTTGAACTTTCTAGCAGCGTTGTTCAAGTCATCAACTTCAAGAGGGAGGTATAGTTGTATGTCATCAGCATACATGTGTATTTTGCAATGTTCAACACGTTTATGAAATTGGCTAGTATAAAGTGTGAAAAAAAAGTGGTCCCAGAACTGAGCCCTGAGGTACTCCCAAGATAACATTTCTAGCTGCAGATAATTGATTTCCCAATTTGACGCTTTGTCTACGATTGTTGAGATATGATTGACAAAGCTGCAGTGATTCCGTACAGACTACACTTGTTTTCAAGTGAGGTATCATGCCTAACCGTATCGAACGCTTTACTAAAGTCAAGCATTACCAAGGCCTAAGGTCAGAAAACTGTGAGGGATTTTCGTTTTTCGGAATAGGGGTAACAATAGCAAATTTCCAAGTAGAGGGATATTTAGATGACAGTATTATACTATTAAAGATATGTACCAAAAAAGGCAAGATGTAGGGACAACAAATTTTTATGAAAGCTATACTTAAGTTGTCAGAGCCAGCAGAGCTGTTTTTAATTCGTATAAGGAATTTGAGCACTGTAGCTTCATCTATAAGTTGGAAACTGAATTCTTTTTCACATAAGACAATATTATCGTAAAAAGTATTTATGGAAGTATTAGCTGAGTTCTTAGGTATGTTATCTATAAAGAAATTATTTATTGCATTTGCGTCTTTGAACACATTTGTTATATCAGTATGCGAGTCATTAGCACTGGCTAGGGATGTAAGTTTTTTCCATAATTCTTTTCTGGAGCTATTCAAGAAGGCATTATTAAAGTACTCACGCTTTCGGTTCTCTACCTCGCGGTTAGTTAGGTTTCTCAAACGTTTGAATTCATTCCAGTTGTCTAGTGTTGGTTTTTTTTATGTCTCACTTTGGCTTTATCTCTTTTTTTCATTAGTTCTTTGATTTCAGTAGTCAACCACGGAGCATATTTTTTAGTTATCCTAACGCTTTTCTCTGGAAAATGCATATTATATAGACTGAGTAATTTTCTTGTAAGAATTTCGATCTTTTCGTCGATATCTTGTATATAAAATATTTCACTTAACCCAAGTTCAGAGTAGTCATTTAAAAATGAGTACTCATCTAAGTTTTTATTATCTCTAATTTTAATTATCAAAGGTTCAATTTTAGGTTTTCTGCAAATTAATGTAGAGCTAATGCACTCATGCAAGGAAAAATCCGATTCTATTATCTCAATAGAGGTTTGAGGTTCAACTCAGTACACCTCAAACTTCACTGTTTGAGAACTCCTTCATCTGGAGAACTGCGTTTATGTGGAATAAACTTCCTGAGAACGTTTTTCCAAATGGATTTAATCTCCAGCGATTCAAAATCAATAAGAATCACTACTTTCGCACAGGCGCCACTTTAAGAGCGCCTTAAGGATATTTCTGCAGTGCCTGTTGATGCCTGTCGATCATTTTAGAAGCAATCCTTGTCGCCATTTCCGATAGTTGGTGTGAAGTTAACAAACTTTACCACAATGCATCCTAAAGTAGTGTCTTATAAGAGGAAAATGTCAGTCTGTTTCTGGGACCAATGTTGATAAAATTACATACATTCTGAAGGTTTATAGTAAGACAATTCTCTGTCTTTGAAAGCAGGGAAAAATCAAAGAAAACATAACACCTTAATTGGCAATATAATTCATAATACAATTTTCAATGCTATCGTTCAAGAATACATCTCTACACATTTATTTGTTTTTCAGAATGTTTTCTCATAAGGCAGTAGTCCTTTTCAATTTTCGGCCTAGGTTTGAATCTTATTGGCAATCCATATTTTGATTTCAAAACTAGAGCCATTCCTAATTCCAGTTTGTGATCGGGTACTGGCAAAAGCTCAAACTCTTTGATAATCCTAGAAATGGTGTTCTTCAATACCAGCATGGCATATCTTTGACCTGAAGAAGAAATCTACTTTCAAAAAATTGAACAAAAATAGATATGAGTATTTTTCTTGATACACATACAAAACGAGAAGAAGTTTCCATGTATTTCTGTTTGGAAGATGGCAGGTATAACTTCAAAATATTCAGAAAGCAAAGTCCCACCACTTTCAACAGCAATTCGAAATTATAACAATTATTAGGTTGCTTCAAAAGTTTTGTCCGTTTTTATGCGTTTACTTTCAACTGAAATATATCAGTGAATACTTATTCAATTTAACCGAATTAACGCCATTTGAATCAGGGCACTTTTGCCAACATAACGCAAGCCGATTAATTCCGTCAGCATAAAGATAGGACGAGCTGGATTCGATGAAGTCGACGAAGGCCGTTTTTGCCTGGTTTGATTGGCGAAGCTTTTACCGGTGAGAAAGTTGTCGTAGTGCTTTAAAATATGGTAGTCAGTTGGAGAGAGGTCTGGGGAGTATAGTGGGAGAGATCAGTGACGGCTCGTGCATTAGAGAACAGAGGAGGCTGAAGTCATAAAGACTATATACACACAGAAAAGCCCGCCGGAGGCGCGAACATTTTTTGGGATGCCGCACCTATTTAAAGCAAAATACGTAATATTTGCATAAATGCAAACAAAAATCGAGTATTGACGAAAATTAAATGTAGGTATAAAACTGATGTACTCTTCCTAGTCAATAAATAATACTTTTCTCTTCTAATATAACAGTTTTCTTAAAAATTGCTAAAAACGATTGAAAGTTGTGATGTACAGGTAGTAGTTTCATCAATTTCCTATGCAAAAAAAAAGAAACACTTTCAATCTCCTTGCATATATTTTTCTTAATAATATATGCCACACTGTCTGTAAGATAATTTTGGATGGTTTTTGAGTGCCCGAAAAAAGGCTACCGTTTAAAAAAGTGCCAATAAATGGTGAATCATATTTGCCCCATAACATTAAAATTTCCTTGCAATTGCCGCGATTAATGGAATCTTCGGTTTCATCGTGTCCGCGAAAAGCATATCTTGGAAACCCAAATAAATCGTAATATCGATGAGTCTTTTCAAATTCGACCGATTTTCCCTAACCTATATTTTGTTTGCTGAACAACTTTAATTTACAAGACGAAAATATATGCTCCTTAGATTTAAAATGTCTTTCTGTAGAACGACGTAATTTTTTTAAATTGGAGTATCACGTTTTAGACTATGTTTGGTATTCGGTGTGTACGGAAAATGAAACACAGAGCCAACAAAAAAGTTTTTCTCCTTTAATGGAGCCGGTTAACCGATCACATTTATCGTACCAACTAATATTAAATCCTTGATTTTGTCGATTATCTGTCGCTTCAATTGAAATTAAATTTGGTTGAGGCCTTCCCAAATCGGGACGTATGTCGCTTGTTGGATCGGTCTCGTGGAGCCTGTGTTTTTTAAAGCGGTTGGAGGCTTGGCTCCCTTGTAACGTATGTCGTTTATTATTTCGGGTTGATGGTTTATTCGTTATTCGTTCATGAGCGGTGCATTTCAGTTTTGTTGATGCAGGATACAGTGTGGTACGTACTACGTAGTGAGTGATAGTGTTTTTCCGGGCATATCATGTATTTATATTGAAAATGGTAAAGTAATGACACCTAAACATTTGTAGAAAAAAATAATAATAATTGTTTGTTAATATATTTTAATTTATTGCGATGGATAGCCTCAAATTTTATGGGGAGGCTAAGTCTCCCTTGCCTCCTCTGACGAGCCGCCGCTGGGTGAGACAAAAGTTCGAAACTCAATTCGTTTATTCTTCGGATGTTTCACAAATCCGCTTCATAATAATTCCAATACGCTCTAAACCATCAAAAACCTTATTCATTGAGATATGGAGCTATAAAAACACATAACACTAAAATGGAAATAACTTATAACATTTTTGTCATAATTCTTCAATATGCTGTGCTTGCTTTGAAATAACTCTGAAGCTCTCTTCAATCCAAACTCCAGAACTGCTACACTATTCTCGATGTGAGAGAATACACTGTTGACAGTCAACTTCAAATCTTTAAGACGTCAATTTGGTTGATGAAATCAGCATTGAGAAAAGTGTTGCAATTCTATGCCAAAGATTCCAGTTCTACCTTTCTACCTGCTGAATATTTCACAGTACCTCTGGACTCCCAGAAATGTTTTCTTTGACATCAGCACCGTACACGAGAGTGTGAAAGTAAATAGAAAAAAAAATGAGAGTTCCAAAAAATGACACTTATGAGTGATATGATTGGTGAACATTTATTGTATGGATCAATTGCCATTTAATATGTGTAGTGAAAACTTTTCGCGCATGAATATTTGTTATTTCATAATATAGGCAAGTCAGCAACGTCTATCACAAGTGCTTTATTTGAGAAAAATTATAAAGAATCTTTCTCGAAGAAGCCATAACGCAATGAGATTGCGGAATAATTCGCATCAATTCACTGTAGGTGAAGAAGAAATCGCGTGCAAGGAACGTTGTATTCAGTATTGCCAGATCTACTAGTTTTGTAGTAGATCTGCTGTTTTCACTCTCAAGCTACTGTTTTATTGTTCGATAGTTTAAATCTACTTATGACTAAGTTTACTTTCTCTTATATTCATTAAATGACTGAAAATGGTGGAAAATACTATGCATATAATAGGTGTCTGAAATATATCTTCGAATGTTGATTGTTTCAATTTACTGTTTTTCTGAAACAATCCACTGTTTAGTATGTAAAAGACCTGGAAACACTGGCCCTGTAAGTATGGCCCGACTTCTTGTTTCCTAGACACATTACTAAAAATTCAATATAATTCGACAAATAAAAATAAAACATTTATTAAGTCCGTCGTGTCAGCTAGTTGTTGAATAAAATTGATTAACGCTTTTTTTCTCCGAAAAAGAAAACATGCGGTCATAGTTCTTTTAAACGCTTCAATATTCTATTATTACCTATACAATTTTTTGGTCCAGCACTGAATGCCAGGAATGAGTAGGTGGGACGTTTTTTATCATTTTCAGGATCGAACCTTTCAGGGTCGAATTTTTCTGGATTTGGATAGTATTCGCTGTTATGGTGGAGCCAGTATACCGCCATTGAAATCACTGTTCCCTTTGGTAATTTGAGTCCCCCTAAAAAATAATAATATTTATTGTCACTAAATCCAAATAGAAAGTCCCATAAATATATAAAATTAATCTAAAAAATAAATAAATAAAATGGTCAATTTATAAAATATGAAAGCAAATTCAGGAAATAAACAGTAACTAATATAAAACTAAGCATAAAATAACCAAATCTAAGTAAAAGTTCATGTGAGGCTTCATCATGATGAGATGTTTGTAACAACACTGGTATTCTTTGATTATATAAAATCATATTCAAAATAGGAAATTTTCAATATATTAGCAGATTTGATTCTTCAAATCGATTGAGGAATCAATACTTTATTGTCATAAAGAATATGGAATTCTTGTGGACAAAGCACTCGTATAAATAAAAACACTAAATACTAAAAGTCAGAAAAAATATGAAACAAGAAAACAAGTGGAACAAAGGGTTCTGGCATATTTGCATAAAAGAGAATTGAGTTTAAAATCCTTGGCTATAAAAAAATAATTCAATGAAAAGGTATCCGCATAAAATTTTTCCAAAGTATAATACGGACGACTACATAGCAAGAAGTGAACAGTCAAATTTAATATCTCTCTATATTCAGTTGCTCTCTCAAATAAGACTGTCTTATGCGAAGGTATTTATTCACTTATTCATTTTTTTATTAACGGACATGACATTTTACAGTTAAATATATAGATAGTGTGAGAGAAAAACACAATCGAACAATAAACTGGCATTCCAAAAATACATAAATATCCATCAATTGCGTCCAAGCTATTTTCCAGGTTTTTTTGCCCATGATCTGGCAGGTTTTTATGGATGACGTTGCATTAAACCTGAACAATTCATATCACCTTATTCTCAAGTCATCGCATTTTTCTTTCGCTGTCTATATTCTTTTCCCTGTATTTCATGAAAGGAGTAGTAACATTCTCAACTTTTCAAAAATTGGTCGGTAGAGCTTGTAACGTAGATTAGATTAGATTGTCGGGGAGCTAGCCATGGCCTGATTCACTGATACCTTTTTGAATCTATTGTGATGCTCCTTGATTGTTAGAGCTCAATGTCCAGCTTGATCTATTTGATGAGGCTCCAAAGCCTTGACACAGACCTCTTTATCAGCCTCTGGTTTCTCTTCAACGCATCTTGCATGTCTCAGCCTTGCTATCGCTGCGCATTCACAGAGCACATGCAGTGCGGTTTCTTCCTCTTCTTGACGGAACCTGTATTGAGTTTCTTCTGTCAGACCCATGTTTAAAAAAATCTGTTTAAAATCTGTTTTCCGTTAATCAGGCTCATATATTTCCTGAGTCGGCTACGCCCCGTTAGTAAACCCACCAACTACCCTTACAACCTCACGGAAGACCTGCTAAACACGGTTTAGCAGGTCTTCTGTGAATCTGGGCGATGATTTCTTTATGCACTCTTTCGCCTGCCTCATTCCTGGGAGCTTATTCCATCAATCTATCAATTCGGCTTGCATCCATGAATTTATGGGTGTCTTTATGCATGCTTTCGCTACCCCGCAGAAGGGTTCTGGGCCGACCATAGCCTTGGATGCGCCTTCACGGGCTAGAATATCGGGCTCCTCAAGAGCCCTTGTGACCCTCATGTCCGGGTACCTAAGCTAGAGTGACCCCATTTTGGGTACTTAGCTCCTTTAGTGTGCTCAGACAGCTTCCCACCAGTCAGAGCGCCTCAATTGCCGCCTGGCTGTCGGAAAAAATGGCAATGGTTTCATTTGTGACCTTCTGCCTGTTTATTTTTCCTATACAGTGTTCGATGACCGCTACTTCTGCCTGGAACAAGCTTGTTATGTATATCACTAAAAAGATTTGTACCAGAGATATACCAGACATATAAAAAAAGTTGACTGATCATATGTAAAATGACAGATTCTTACAATATTCTATAGTATTCAATTTTCGCTGAGCAAAATATCTTATTCCATTTTTCAATAAGATATGGTTGTCATATGTAAGAAAATGAGAACGAACAGGTATATAATTCGAATTGAGCTGAATGTAGACATCACTCTGTCGCTCAGAACGTCCGCTCAATAGGACTTCTTCTAATTTAACTTTCGATCATGACAAGTCTGTTACTTTTGCAAAAGTTTACCACTTTGTTTAATACCCTTCTTGCCTTATTGGAGAGATCTGCTGTGTCACATGAGATTTCAGTGTACGGAAAAATGCCGGTGTTTTACACTTTCAGATAAAGGTTGATGTATAATAAAAACAAGGGCCCAAGAATACATCTTTGGAGAACCCCTGTGTTACATTTTTCAGTGAACGACTAAAATTTACGAATATGACTAATAACTTCGAATCTGAGACAAACTTGGTGAGTTTCTCCATTAAAAAAAATAAGTCAGTAAAATCTACATGACATCTAGTTTTGTTTAGGAGAATGCCTTGAGTTATTGAGTAAAAATTGAAAATCAAATCAACACATCTGGATTACGATATATGGATTAAACAAAAAAAAGTTTTTTTGTCCATGGTATAACATATCAGCTTGATAGTTTTTGAGGGTGGTTCATAGAAAATGGAGTGTTAACATTAAGGCTTTTAACACGTTCAGCGCCAAGGTACTACATCAGATTCCACGATTTTTCATTATTTTTTATTTTTACTTTATTTGGAGCTCTGGTGTTATTCTGAGTATGGAAAAATCATTTTCGAAATTTTCCTTTCATTCTTTCGTACGTTTTGGAATGTGTATCATTTTCGATACACGTGGCCCTTGAAATAGTTTTCAATCGTTACGTAATTCATGGGCCATGTGTATCGAAGAAGATACACATCAATTTATTTCATCATTTCATGTTTTTCTCTTTCTTTTCAGATTGGCGAGCAGAATAAACAAGAAAAAGAAGAGAAAAAAATTGAATTCGAAAATTCATTGTATTGAATTGGGGAAAAACAAGAATTTTGTTTTTCCTGAATTCTGTTTCTTTGTTTCAGATTACTTATTGAATATAGTTTGTGAATATTTCTTGTGTGCAAAATACTAAGTAATCTAAAATAAAGAACATGGACTTTGATAGTGACGACTCCATTCACGATCCGGATTTTGATCCTGTCAATGAAGATTATGATAATGGAGGTACATCAAGTGACAGTGAAAGTGGCGGGGAACCTTGGAATCCACCACCTAAACAAAGACGAACATCTATATTTTCTGAGGATAGACTGAGAGAATCACATGACACTCCACTATTATCATCGATTTCGAAGCCTGATGGTGAAATACCAAGTACGTCAGGTATCACTTCTTCTGGAGTAACTGAATCTGCATGGCTAAACCAAAAATTGAACGATATAGAATGGGAAATGCCTACTCATGAAGATCCGCCCACTATTGAGTATACCGCGCCATTCACGGGAATGAAAGATATTTATTCTGGAATCCTAGCCCAGGCGAATCCTATTGACTATTTCGATTTATTCTTGACACATGATATTTTGGTACTCATTACAGATCAAACCAATTTGTATGCTACTCAACAGCTTATGATGAACGACACTCCAGTTCAGTCAAGAACTCACTCGTGGATTCCAGTAACTATGAATGAAATCACTCAATTCATAGCCCTAATTGGTTGGATGGGTTTAGTAAAATTACCAGCGATAAGAGATTACTGGCGAGTGCACAAACTTTACGGTATTCCATTAGCACGAACTGTAATGGCTAGGAATCGATTCGAGTTGATTTTGAAGTTTCTACACTTTTCTGATAATACCACTACTGATCCCAGTGACAGACTATGTAAAGTCAGAGAATTGTTGAATAACTTCGTTGAAAATTATAAAAAATCTTATACACCTGGTAAAGACATTTGCGTAGACGAATCTTTGATACCTTGGCGAGGAAGATTGATATTCCGGCAGTATATACCTAATAAAGCTGCCAAATATGGTATCAAAATCTACAAGCTTTGCACTGATAAGGGGTATACCTGGAATCTAATAGTTTATTGTGGTAAATCTAGAACACCAGAATGTGAGGTTTCTGAGAAAACCATGATGTCTCTGGCAGAGGGTCTTTTGGACGAAGGCAGAACAATGTATACGGATAACTTTTACACAAGCATACCACTTGCATATCGTTTGAGACGAAGGAAGACTCATCTAGTGGGTACGCTCAGGGCAAACAGAAAATATTTGCCAAATAATATTATGGGAGCTAAACTGAAAAGAGGCGAAATGTCTGCAAGTCAAACAAAGGATGGTGGTATTGTTGTCCTAAAATGGCGAGATAAGCGCGATGTGAGAATTCTTTCAACTAAAACGTCAGCCCTCAGAACTGTGACCAGCACAACTAGAACAAATACACCCATAATGAAACCAATATGTATTACAGAATACAATAGCGGCAAATCATCCATTGACCTCAGCGACCAAATGGCAACGTATGGATCAGCTTTGCGTCGCTGCACTAAATGGTATCGTAAGCTCGCTATTGAGATCATATGGGGAACTAGTTTAGTAAATGCCCATTTTTTGTACAATGAAACAACTACTAATAAAAAATTGACTATAACAGAATTCAGAGAGCAAGTGATCACAGGAATGCTCGAACGATGTACTACGACGGAAGCTGAATCCAAGAAAACGAAGGGGAAACACTATCTTATAAATAATGAAGTGGAGGGGAAGAATGTACGTGGACGATGTGCGGAATGCTACAGAAAATATGGCAGAAAGGGGAAAGAGATTGACGGAAAACTTGTTATAGCCTCGCAAGTTATAACAAAATGTTCTGTTTGCGGAACATTTTTGTGTCGTAAATGTTTCAATAATACTCACTAATGTTTATTCACCATGCTGTTCAGTTTCATAAGTTTTTTCATTACAATTTTTCAGAGAATACATTGTTTTATTCTACCACCATATAATTTTTATGATATTTCAAAATATAAACATCCATATCCCAACCCAGGCATACACAAACTTCCGTGTAGGCCAAAATTTCATTTTCGTCCTATTAAACACACGGCAAGTGTGCGAGTTGACGACACACAACGCATTGAACGAGATGAACGTCGTGTATCTTTTTCGATACACATTGGATAGGACAGTGTGTATCGAAAAAGATACACATGGCGTTGAACGTGTTAAATTTGAACTGAGCTAATACTCAGTGTTCTGATCGTTTTATGTACTACTCTGTTAAAAAAATAACGTGAATTTCTATTATTCATCAATTTCTATTATGATCCCTTCAAAATAGTCCCTCTCAGATAGAATAAACCTCCGCCCACGTTTTTTCCAATTCTCAAGGCAGTTCTAACATGCACTTTTTGGTATGTCCTTGAGGTCCTTGTTTTAGCTTTTTGAAAAATGGCACGAACTTACAAAAAGAAAAGTTCCAGAAGCAGTTGATGGTCTGTAGAAGGCATGAAACACGCAAATGATGCAGTTTTAGGCCAATAAGCAGGTTACAGAAAAGCAGCTCAATTGCACGGTGTTCCACAGACAACATTGGAGGGTCACGCCGCAAAAATAAGGAAGCGCAAGTACCTCTTAATTCAGCTTCAGGTAACTTTAAACCCGTATTTTCCAAACAAGAAAAAGAGGAGGGTGTTAGGTATGTAAAAGATATGGAGAAACGATTATTTGGATTGACAACTGTCGTTTTACGAAAACTAGCCTGTCAGATCACAATTTTAACCATTTTAAAAAGATTGCTGGCGTAGACTGGTTCAAAGGCTCAACAAAGTGGCCGTAAATAAATTTTATTCTTCGCTTGGGAAAGTTTATGACAAATATAATTTAACGCCAGTTAGAATATATAACTGCGACGAGACTGTGGTATAACATGTGTCTCCAAAACAAATAGTAAAATCAATGCCGAAAAAGGAAGGAAACAAGTAGGCTCCCTTTCTTCTGCAGAACGAGGGCAGACGATTAACGTCAGGATATGTTTCAATGCAGCTGGAACTTATATGCCTGCTATGTTAATATTTCCGCGGCAGAGAATGGAGCAGGAGTTATTAGATAGAGCTACTCCAGGGACGACGGCAGAATGCAACGCTTGAAGCTGAATGACAACTGAAACCTTCATGAGCTGGTTCCAACGGTTCGTCAAACTTCATGGGGCCTCAATAACTAACCCGGTCTTGTTACTTCTAGATGGGCACGTAACGCATACGCAAAATATAGAGGTTATTGGAAATTCACGTAAGAATGGTGTTATTGTTATTGTTAACCAGGGTCGTAGCGAAAAGAAAAACCAGGGGAGAGGGAATCCAAATATTCCCAACCCCACCAGCAAAATTTCCTAACTTTCGAAAAAATGAAAGCCGAGGGGTAAGTTACTACTATAATATATTGATTTTCTTACTTAGCTTAGCTTGTCAAATCATTATGAGCATGCTTGTTTTAACTGGTTACGGTCGCACCCAGGGCTAATAATAACAACTTTTCAAATAAGCGAAATTTTTGCAAATGCTTATATTCAAGCCAGGGCCGTAGCGAAAAGAAATACTTATTAATTTTCTTACTTAGCTATCCAAAGATTGGCTGAATGCTTATGCCCGTTAGGGTATGCAAAAACAAAAATAAATTTTGGTAGTTATAAAAATAATAATGGGAATTATTCTACTTTGGACCCAGGTCGTTGGTCTTCCACCATATCCACCATGTATAGGAATATTCAATACAAATGAAAGGAAACAACACTTTAATAATGTTGTGCTTATTGTTTTCTACTATTATTTTTTCTATCTTCACGGCCCGAAATTTCCCAACTTTTCCAAGTCGAAAAAACAGCGAAAACTTGTGAATTTTGTAAAATTGTCTCTTCAAAATTTGTGGACTGTCCAGGACCGTTCTCTTACTTGGGAGAAATTAAACTTTTTTGAAGTTTTCAAACAACTCAGAATTTCAAAGTATGGGATCTCCAAGTTATGGATGTTGGGAAATCCCAACCTTCTCTCGGTTCTTTCCCTTTTCTTATTACCTCTCCCTTTCTTTTCTCTAATTTTAATTTTTTTAATTTTCATTCATTTTTTTACTATTATTTTTTTCTATCTTCACGGCCCAAATTTTCCCAACTTTTTCCCAAGTCAAAAAAGCAGGGGGGGAAGGCTCCCCCCCATTCCCTCCCCCATGGCGACGGCCCTGATTCAAGCTACAATAATGTTCATGGCAATTAATGCATTCGAATATGGGATATGCTGCATCAACAACAGACATACCGTTTACAAATGATGAGCCTGAAACAACTTCTTCGGCTGCTGAAAGTCAGCAACCACTAGATTTTCAATTTGAACATCGGCTCATTCTTATCGAGGTCGCTTAGAATGTGACAATTTTGAAAGTATTATTTAGCGAATAGCTTTTTGTCTCTGTCTATCACTTACCAATCACAGCGTCTTCTTCTAATAACCTTTCGACGATCGGAACTGTTGTACGCAGTCTCAGTGTTTCCTTGATCACCTTATGCAAATAAGGCATTGCTTGCAAAGTATCCAAAGACATTTCAGGATCTATTTCTGAATAATGACTCACTTCTTCGTACAATTTGGCTTGAATTTCAGGATGTTTGGAAAGTTCATACAAGTTGAAACTCAGTGCTGTTGCCAAGGTATCGTTTCCCTGAAATAATGAGGACACTATCTATAGTTCGTTCAGTATTGTCTGAGAGTAAAAGAATTTCAAGAATGCAAACATGTCGCTACATCAAAGAAAGCAACATAGTCGTCTCAAGCAAATAGCACTGCAATTCACCCACAAAATCATTGAGATATGTCTACCCTCTATATCCCTTGAGGACGCCGCTAACGAGGCATTAAAATAGGGATATGCGACAAAGAACGCGAAAACACCGACAAAGAATGCGAATATACCGCCAAAAGAACCACTCGATGTTTTTTCTGATATTACGTTTAAGATAATATTAGAGATATCTAAAGCAACAGTAGCATAATTGCTACTGTTGCATAATATAAGTAGACACCTTTCAAAATTTGTCCTGGAAAGTTGTCCTCAGAGTATTGTGTTTTTTATTCATTTTTCAGGAGAATGCCAACAGGACGAACCCAAAAACAGTATTCTCTAGTAACATATAATTGTGCTTTCTAAAGGCCGTTTTCCACCAAACGGGCTCGCTTGCGACTTGTTTCGTTTTCGAAAACAAAAATAAAAAATTGTTTCGGTTTCGAAAACAAACTCATAACTCGAGGTCCATCAAACAGACAAAAATTAGTCTGAGCTGTTTTGTTTTCACTACACGCCTTCTCAAGACGATATTTTTATAATGGCCTGCCGTTTTTTTTATAATGGAATCTGTTGAGCGGAAGTCAAAAAAACAAGATACTGTTCAATCTGTTTAAATCTGTTTTTCCGTTAATCATCCTGGATGAGATCATTGTTTAGAAGACTAATAAATTATGGAAATGATAAAATTATGGCAGATTCGATGAATGATAACCTAAAAATGAATGAAGAACTGAGTTCATCGAAATTTATAACCACCACAAATAAACACTTTAAATAAAGTATTAATGTCTCATAATGTCTAACAAAATAGTGAACTGAATAGTTGTCGCCAACCATTTCCACATAGCGAACTCTGTTTGTGAAAACAGACAAAATACCGAAACCTTTTGATCATTCTGCCTGCCGATGGGACATTTCGTTGTTGACAAAAACAGTCGTCCGCGAGAAAAAGTAAAAGGCCTACCGAGCAGGAGGCGAAAAAAAAATGGGTGGCAGCATTGCTTCTTGCAAGACCGCTGCGCCCCCCGACGAAGCTTCTGTCAATCTTGATAGAGAGAGAGAGAGAGAAAGAGAACTAGAATCAGATTCATCAAGATGAATAAACTGCTGAAGCTATCTACTCGTGCTGGCGAAGCGTTAGGATGCAGTTCCAAACAACGACGGCCTTCAAATCCGAATAAAGATGGTAACACTCATTCAAGGTGGATTGTAACAAATATAATAAACATTATTGATGTATGCATATGTAGATGAATTTTGTTTACCCCAAACAAAAACGTATTCACTTCTTCCTGGATATCCCTGTCCGACAAGCCGGGCAACTGCAACAGAGCATCTATGAGAGCCACCTTTTTCTTATAACTATTTTCATTGCTGTCAATCCCCTGTACTTTCCCATGTTTTTCGTAATATTCCCGTTTGTTGTCAATCACCCGATAGGACAACCCAATTATAATATCTAAATCTTTCTTGAAAGCAGCGTATTTACTGGAGAACAATTTGAATAGAGTGTAGGACCTTTGCCAGACTGAAAAATTTCGAATCCAAAGAGTTTTCGTGAAATTTTCAACTGCTTTGAGAAAATCGTGGTTTCGGCCTTCCTGACTTCCAAAGTCATACCCAAAAGATGTCGCTGAAAAGAAAACAGAACGCAAGACAAGGCATTTGAAACATATTTGTATTTGCTAAGAAATTTCTCTTCAATAGTAGGCAACGAAAGTACAAACCTCCGGCAATGTCCAATGTGAATGTAGGAACGAAAGGATGTATGTCGATGACTGATTCTGTCTCTAATTGTTTATAAATTCGCTGAACTAGAATTTCAGCAGATCTTTTGAAAATAGGAAGATAGCTGGATACTACTGAAAAGTGCACTGAAGGAGTCAACATCTTCCTTCTTTGCTTCCATTTCATACCTGAAATAAAACTGAGTCACAATTCTTTCTTTCATTTGTTTAATAACCGTAATATTCCAGTATATTTGATATCAAGCAAAATATGCATAAACAATGAATACCTACTAAAATAAGTCAAAGTGAGAGAAATACTCTCATTCATAATCTCATTTCTTGAGAAGAGTTTTAAATTTATACAAATACTACTATCCATGAATAATTATAGAATTTTCACAATGAATTTTTTTTAAAACTCGTTTCGATACATGGTAGCTTCATCAGTTACTAGTATAGTCGAAGTAATTTTTATTGTGAATAGTTAAAGCTATCGGCATCTCAAAGGCCAAAAAAACCAATACAGAGAAATAATGCCGCTACGAACTAGTCCACATGGACTGAAGAATTGGCGGTTCGTATTGGATAATTTTTACTAACCGAGTTTTACGATTGGCTGAAGAGTCATAAAATTAAATTTGAAGTCATGTTATGGTGAAAAATGGAATATGGGGATGTGATCAACGTTGTGTCGTCAATGTTCAGTTCATTAACTGATTTGAGTGTTGAAATTCGATATTGGTGCAGTTATTACCTAAAATTTTTTTTACCTGTTTAAAATGTGGCGTCCTTGGACAAGGACGCCACTAATAGTAATAACGAGTGTGATAATAACGCATTGAATAGATGTACGAACACTGATAACACCAACCTTTCTTTTCCATAAACATTCTGATCTGGACTCTCTGTCATGCTGATGTACTCCACCCTTTATATTATTTGGAATCGTACTTACCTACACTATTGAGTAGTCCATCGCCAATCCATGGTCTAGTCATGTCATATATATGCGATTTTGTGATGTGGACATTCGATCTCAAGAGATCCTCTAGAAATGTTGCGTCGGTTGTTACCACGTGTAGAGTGCTTCCTAAGTACATTTTGAAAGTTTTTCCATATTTCTGCGTGAGCTCGCAATACATCTTGAATAATCCTTCAGAGAAAATATACATTAGTCAATATTATATTATAATATCACTTCAAAATGCAGAGATTATTACACAAGTGTTTTATTGATTCGGTATATACGGAAAAACTCTTAAGTTACCACGTAAAATATGCATGTATTAAAATGTACTTCAATCCAGAAACAGTTACAAAATTCGTACGAATATTATAATATATGAAATAAAAAAAAACTTAAAAACTAATTGCTAATAAAACAATTGAAACCAACACCAGCACTTAAAACTAACAAACATATAAGGCATAAATATATAGACTAAATACATAATTGACTGCAGATTTTTTGAAGGCCTTTAAAGAGTGAGTAAAAAAATGAAGTTCTGGTGCATTACCTTCCCTCAACATTCTTGACATTGGACTATTAAATTCATAATTGGTAGAGTGTGAGTTTTCAGCGAAAACTGCCCTATCATCCCTTGTTACTCTTTGCCTGACTCTCAGGCCAACCAAAAAAGAAGTTCTGGGCAATTAATTCGGCCTGACAATAATTTAAATAGAAATATTAGGTCAGCCTGAATCTGTCTGTTTTGGAAGTTGGTTAGATGTAGTGTAGAAAGAATATCAGCTTGATTATGTCGCTGGTTCATTTGAACGCCCATTTTGTAGGCAGCAATAAGCAAAAATTCATTTTCAATCCTTTCCAGTACCGTTTCGTACTCTAAGTAACAGGGACACTAAGTGTGACCTAATTGATGAACACTATAGAATTTTTATGTGCTTGCCTATAAGTTTTTAGCGATCCTAACTACACCTCCAAGAAGTTTCAGTAATTTCCAGGTTATTTCATTAACATGGGATGAGAATAATGACTTTTTATCAAATATAACACCCAGATCTTCAACTTCATCAACTTGGTTCGAGGGCAAAAGTTTATGCAGTATTCATATGTGAGAACGATTGAAACATATGACTAGTCAAGATTTAGTTTCAAGCAGTTATTTCCACAACAATTGGTTTAATTGTTCGCATCATCTGGAAGTTTCAGACAACCAACATATGATTCAATCACCCTGTATAGCTTGAGATCACCAGCAAATAACAACTCCTAAGAGTCAATAATGTGTGCAATAAGATCATCAATGGAGATATTGAAAAGTAATGGTCCACAGTGACTACCCTGGGGAACACCAGAAAAGGCTTCAATTGTATGTGATATGTAATTGATGATTTTCACCTACTGAATTCTACCTGCTAATCCTATCCAAAAAACTACCCCCAAAACCATAAGATTCTAATTTTCGAGGCAATACAACTTGATTAACTCTATCAAACCCCTTTGAAAAATCTATAAATTGAGTGAACAAATGTATTTCTAATAGGTCAGCAAATTTGTGACTGTAGATGGTGGTTCTAGCTCTGAGGCAGTGTAACCAACCAGTAGATGGGTCTGATCAAGCTGCTTTTTTTCACCAATGTTACAATCTCGCATAATAACCAAGTTTCATAAAACACTCAATGTCAAAAATTGAAATTCCAAGAACTTTGCTACTTTCTGAATCCTCATAACTTTCAACAGAGGAGTTCAATTGAATTGATTTTTTAACTCAATGGAATGTTCTCTTGGAATTATGACACTTCTCTTGATTATGCCAGTGTTGTGGTCTCTTTCTCTTAAATAACGTGTACATATTTTTTATTCTATTTTCATAACACCCTGTGGATATTACCAGCACTTGAGTGAGGTTAACTTTTTGATCAACCTGTCAAGTAATTTTTTTCTGTCAGGTTTTTGAATTATGTCTCTAAGTTGACTCAAAAGATATAGAAGCTTCAAAATTATATCAATCAAAAAGATTTCTATTCAGAAACATCTTATATAAATTGTCTCTCATCTTGCTCTGCCTGAAGACTCTATTCTTCTTGTCATGCCTCAGTAAGGATTTGCAATAATTTCCAGAAAAACTTTGCTTCATTCCTCAGCAAGGGCATGACCTAAAGCCCCGGTTTAGACTTAGCAGTTGTCTAATAACTACCTCAATCACCAAAATCATCTACTGAATGACATGAAAAATCATCACTTGAAACCTTGTGAGAAAAGACTCAGGCAAAAGAACAAATATTGTCAAGGTCAATCATAACTATTTTTATACTATTGCAGTTACATCATGTGTTTCACAAGGATCGCATTTGGGACCACTGTTGCTTAACCTCTTCATTAATGATCTGATTCGCTGCTTTCATGAAAGTGAAGCTTCGATGTTTGCAGACGATTTAAAATGTTTTGAAATAATTGAAAGTGAGACTGATAGATTGATTCTACAAAATTATATCTGTTTAAAAAAAATCTGTTTTTCCGTTAATCAGCTGCCGCCCCCATACGAACGACAACTCTCAGAAGTTAAGAAACTTGTGCGAGCTAAGGACTAACGAGGTCTTACCTTTTAACGTGTGATTCCTAACACGGTTGCAGAATCATTCCAGCTTCAACCAGATAAATTCTCTCGAGAAAAATATCTGGTCGAAGCGGGAATCGAACACACGACCTTCCGATCGTGAGTCGGACGCACTACCACCGCGGCTTATCCAATTGGATAAGCAATATAGATTGCTTATCCAACTAGTGTACGCAAAATGATATGTGTTTGAACGCATCCCAATGACATATTCTTCGCTTTCATCGAACATATCACCCAATCACTTTCGAGTGTAGTATAAATATAATCTGACCTCACATTCTGCTTTGAAGCCAAATATCTAGGTGTGATTCTTGACTTCACACTCAGCTATGAATTAAATATTTCCTCTGTAATTCAGAAATATATTAAGAGAAACGCCTGCGATTTTACTAACATCACTGCTATCAAATCTCTGTATTTTTTCCTGGTTAGATCTCATCTTGATTATTGTTCCACAGTTTGATCCTCCATTACGTTACATATAAAGTGAAACTTGGAACATACCTTCTCTCGAGGCACGCAGAAAACATAGAAACTTAATACGGCCATTTAAAAATATCAACGGACAGAGTATCAGCTCCGAGCTTCTCTTTAAGTTATCTATACTTGTCGCTAGTCATTCAACTTTAGGCAGATACAAACCTTCTACGTTTTTTTTTCACCGATTCAATTACTCATACGACAGTTTTATCCCCATAACTCAAGTAAATATACAGTACATTTCTTTAATGTCCCCCCCTTTTTTTGAACGGGTCAACTCAAAGAATTGAAATTTGGGATAATGAAATTAATGTATGAATACTTTATTTTGAAGTGAAATTGATATATGACACTTTCAAGATGGTGACTGGGCGCCATCTGAGAAAAAAATTAAATGAAAAGGGTGGTCTTGTGACACATCTTTTTGAAGCTTCTGACAAATGCTTCACAACCCTAGAATATAATGTCAATATCTTCAACTACTACAAAATGGCGAAACTTTTATTAATTGCCTGAATACATTGACATTCAACTACATAATATGAGGTAATAAGCTTGATGTCAGTTGAGAAGACGCTCGAAATGGTTGCCTTGAACTTCTTGACATATGAACAGCCTACCGGATATTTCACGCCGAACATTTTGGAACACAGTAACGTCAGTATCTCTACAAATATTTATTACTCTCTGCCGTATATCCAATATTGAAGCAGGCTCAGTTTCGTACACCTTTTGATTCAAATAGTCCCATTAAAAAAAGTCCAAAGGTGTCAAATCTGGCCATTCTGTAGGACCTCGACAGTCAATTCAACGACTGGAAAAAATAGTATCCAGATAGTTTCTTACTTGTCTAGAGTAATGTGGTGGTGCTCCATCTTGTTCATTAGGATTCGCTTCGACGAATCTTAACGCTTTCTCTGTTGAATTTTGATAAATAAATAGAGGTCCTACAATATGGTTTCTCGATATTGTCACTCCAATAAATACAATTTTGTCTGTGAACATTGCCGTTTAAAAAAAATGTACATTCGTTACTAAAACAAATTTTGTGTAGATAGATAGGATGCCTTGCAATGGTTTCCGTCATAATTTCACATAATTCTGTTATGGTACACCAGTTAATTTACGCACCGTAGATAAAAATCGCTTCAATTTTTTTTCCAATGGACGAGAGTTGACCATTTTAGAGATTGTCGACGTGGCACCTTTCTACTAGTAAAACCAAAAACTAAAAGGGAATATTCTAACTGAACGATGCTGTTCATTATCGTACTGATATTTTTTGTCGTTTTTATAAAAAAAATAACTTAAAAAACCTCATTGGATTGTTGAAATTGCCATATAATGATAATAATAATAATAACTTTATTCACAACGTATACATTTGAAACAAAATATGTGAACAAAGTGGTTTGGCGATAAGAGAAAAGCTCTTGTTTCACAAGATGATGGCAGATAAAAAGAAATATTTATAGGAATATCGATATTAATGTGTTTGTCTTCAGGAAAGTATGAAATGTTCTGCCATTTTGTAGTAGTTGAAGATATTGACTTCATATTCTAGGGTTGTGAAGTAGGTATTCGTCAGGAGCTTTGAAGTGATGTGTCACAAGAACCCCCTTTGCATTTAATTTTTTTTCCTAAATGGCACCCAGTCGCTATCTTGAAAGTTTCATTCGTCAATTTTATTTCTAAATAAAGTATTCATGCAATAATTTCATTATCCCAAATTGAAATTTTTTGAGTTGACCCGTTCACTGTATATGCTGCATACAATAATAAGTAAATTATAAGAACAATTCAGTTTGATGAGTTTCTGGAAATGCATTTCCCATATTTAAGATTTACATTTTATAAGTGCTCGGACGAATATTTTTGATATTATTGGTTTTGCTTCTCTTCATTTGTTATATCACTTTACCTGCACAAATAAATTCCATCTATCTATATATCTATATTGCGCATTTTTAGAAAAATTTCTGAGATATTTTGCTTCTCTCACAGTTTCTAGAATTTATCAACGCTATCTATTTTACAGAATTTGATTCATCCAGACTTGGAAATTAGCTAGAGCTTCGTTAGAACGGATCCAGAAGAATCAATTTTAAACAAACCCATGAAAATAATACGGCCAACTCACCATAGATATCCGTAGGCGATTTCAAGCCATAAAAAGGATATGGCGTCGGTCCTGGTAGTTTCACATCCTTATGTTTGTAAACGAGATATCCAAAATATAGCGCTGGAGCTAAAACCACTAACGCTGCTAGGAACACAAGCGTCATGGTGCTGTTTGCACTGAACAGTGAGTGGGGATGTTTGAAGTTTACTTTTATATGGAGATTATCCGGAATAAAAACAGTAATTTTAATAACAATTATCAATAATAAATTATCTAATTTTAGGAACGTTTACACAACCGAGTGTAGCACGTTCAAGTAGATATTATTCTTCTATATATTTTCAAATTTCGAAAAAGAATATTTGAATATATACAAGTATTTCTACAATAACGTAATAAATAAAGATGAGAAGGATGTCCGTTAACTATCCAGTATTCGCCCTATCCGGTGGCCAAAAGATAGTATTTTGGCCGGCTGAATACCGGATTCTGTTCAAAAAATCTGTTTGAAATCTGTTTTTCCGTTAACCAGCTGTCGCACCCCTACGAACAACAACCGTCAGAAGTCGAAACTTGTGCGAGCTAAGGATTAACGAGGTCTTACCTTTTAACGTATGATTCTTATTGAAATAATATTTCTAGCAGCAGCAAGGAGCTTCAATCAATGCAAAAAGTAAATAAATGTAACTTCTCTTGTCGACGGACGGATCCGAATTGGACTACCCTATCGTTCACTCGCCGTTTTCGCAAACGTGTTTCTTGCGATGCAACAAATGGCAACGTCCCGTTGGTGGCCGAATCTTCGACTATCCGTCTGTAAAGTTGGCCGAATATTCGGTACCTGGTGAAACTGCTATCCGTTTCATCTTCAGTATCTGATAACTCAAACAATTAAATTGTAGTTGTTTTTGAATAGGTTAAAAAATCTCACGAGCATGTTTTTCTGTAAGAAAATGAGCCAGTAGCATTAGTTGAGCATTAAAAATGATGAAGTCACGACTTATGGAAAATTACAGATGATTTTTTTTTGATAGAGGAATTCAATGAATTGACTTGACTTTATTTGAAAAATGTATCACAACATATTTCGTTAACACAGTTGCTTTATCGGTCATTTGAATACATCAAGTTGCTTCTTACACTAATATTTATATACTAAAGAAACCATAATTGATACTACCTCCAACAAATTACCCAAACCTCTACCTGAGATACCTCTTCAATTATGATCACCTGAATCATATTACCTCACTTCTACATCAATAATTCTTTCTCGGTCTAAAAAAACAAGTTCAACAATGATGATCTATTCAAATCCAGTTGGTAATCCATTAGATTGTTTGAATTTTTAAGTTTAATAATTTCGATTGCTTCCAAATGATTCAGTTTCAAACCTTCATTTTCCTGTGTAAAATTTCGAACGCTTCGTTAAAGATATGATTTTCTTAAAGATGATTTGAATATGTTGAACTTGTTTTCTTATTTACATAGCTCATATTATGTTCCTGGATTCGATTCCTAAATGTTCTGCCAGTTTGACCAATATATACCTCAGGACACGTTCCACACTTTAATTTATATAGGTACTCCCGATTTCTCGAATTTGGATGTTTTATTTCATTATTTTTAAATAACTTTCCCAACGTATGTTAATATTTAATTTAATATTTAATATTTCGTTTCCTCAAAAATGAAGCCACTTTTTCCGTTATTTGTCCAAAATACGTTAAAGCTCTATAAATTTGATTATATATTCATTTATTTATTTGATTTTAACCAAACAGGCCAGGCATGGTTAACAGCTTTACAAAAATACTTGAGGTGTAATAATTAAGCTATGGACCTGAATCATAAACATAATGTATCATCTAAGTTATCAATAGAAAAAACGTCTCGAATCGCTTTTGCGCAGAGAAAATAAACAAAATACTTTCCAAAAAAGTCTACAATTCGTACTGGGAGCTATCTCACTTACCTAACTATTTGTTTCAAGTACCATTTTATTTTTTAAGATGGCCCCATTCTTTTTTAATGGTTTCCCATGTATTACCAAGTATATTTTTCCAGTACTTCATATTAGAGTGTTTCAAAAGTTTCGTCCGTTTTTCTGAGTCTACTTTAAACTGTCGATGAAGTCCACGAAGGCCATTCTTTCGTGGTTCTAATTGGCGAAGACCCTACCGATGACAATGTTATCGAAGTGTTTGAAAAGATAGTTAGGTTAGGTTAGGTCTACAGTGAGTGGGTCTATTCAACCCTCCACCACAACCCGCAACGGTTTATTGTGGCTCACACCTATTCATATTCGGCTAAATAAACCTAGCTTCTCAACGAAGCTGATTAGTTTGTATGTTGAGTGGTCTTTCAGGCCAGATAGTAAGATTATTGCTCTTCCAAACTCTAATAACCTGATTCGATCCCCAGCGGGGCAGACACAAAGTATGTGCTCTGCTGTTTCATCATTTTCCAAACAGAGGGGACACAAACTGTTTTCCAACAGTTCAAGTCTCTGCATATGATGATTCAAATGATAGTGACCTGTAAGAAGGCCTGTTAGACAATCGTAGTTCATCCCTACTGTTGTCCAACATCTGTTTGGTATCAAGCTTCGAAGGATGAATAAACGCCTTGGAGTGAGCCAATCTTGGAAGCTTCTGCCAGAAGTCCATACATCGTCTTGCCATCCAGGTGTTTAAAGTTCGTTTGGCAAATCCTAAAGCGATGCCAATGACAGGTTCTGGTCCGATGAAGCAGCTGGCAGAACCCTCCTTTGCAAGGAGTTAGCAGCTTCGTTGCCTTCCAGGCCGGTATGGCCTGGAATCCATACCAGAGGAAATATGTTAAGTCTTCCAATCGAGGAGAGTCCTTTTTGGCAATTTGATACCAATTTAGACGTTGCTCGGTAGGAGCCAAGGGCTACCAACGCCGCTTGACTGTCCAAGAATATTTTTATTGATTTGTGTGTGAGGTTGGATTTATCCAGTCTCTCCGCACACAATTCAATATCGTGAATTTCCTCGGCAAGTAGGTTGAAAAGATGGTAGTCGGTTGGCGAGAGGTCTGGGGAGTATGGTGGGCGAGGGATGCTCAATTAATTCAATTTTCTGAGAGTGATTTGCGAAACGTGCAGACAGATGTTGTTGTGGAGTAGGATCGGTCCTCTTTTGTTGACCAGTAGCGGCTGCTGCTGATGCAATTTTTGGTTCATTTCAACGATTTCCTCACAATAGGTCTGTGCTGCGATGGTTTGGCCCGGTTACAAAAAGATATAGTGAATCACACCAGCCGTTGACCACCATACAGTTCATTAATTACATATAATAATGAAATCCACACTTATCCTACAATAAACGTGAACGATTTTCATATAACTCGAAGTCAAAATGTAAGCTCAATGAAAACATTATTCTTCAAGGGCTTAAATGATTTCAATAACCTCTCAAATGAAGTGAAAAATTCACCGTCTTTAAACACTTTCAAAATTCATCTGAATGAATTCATTTCATCACTGTACATGTAGAAAGATGAGTTATTGGTCATATTTACTGAGTGTACATGAGTATAATATGTGTATATTTTAATATCTGATGATTGTGACACTATAGGTGTATTTTTTTATTTTAGCATTCTTTATTTAGCATCAAGTATTTTTTATTACTAATATTACTAATTACAAATATTATAACTGTATGTGAATTATGATATTCCTATTGCAAATGAAAATTATTATTATTTGTTACAGATTACATATTTTGTTTATTTGTTTATCATTCAGTATATATTTGTTTGTTCCATTTAGTTAGCTATGAATGAGATATGAAAAGTGGTAGTTGTTGATTGTCAAAAAAGGTCAATAGACGTCAAAAACTAATTTAGGATGGGTTATCCATGGTAACACTTCAGAATCTGATCAAAATATATATAGCTTCCACATTTGTTCCTGCGATAACAATAATGAACTGAATCGTCTAGTCAGGGAATCTTTTAGTACCGAATCATTTGGTGTTTCCGTTAATAATAGAATTATTGACATTGATCATAGAAGAGCCCTTGATATTTTGGAAAATAAAAAGTTTATTTAGAAAATGAAAAACGATATGCGACAGGGTTGATTTGGAAAAATGACAATGTAACTTTACCAGAAAGTAAATCAAATGCTATGAGAAGGTTGTTTTGTATTGAGAAAAAAATGTTGAGGGATAAATCATATTTTGATCAGTACTGCAACAAAATCAGTGACTACTTAAAAAAGGGGTACATTCGAAAATTAGAAACTTCCAAGGCGATTGAACAAAATTCTCGAAAATGGTATCTCCACTATTTGGTGTCTTAAATCCCAATAAGCCCAATAAGTTGAGACTTGTTTTTGACGCTGCCGCTAAGAGTAATGGTACCAGCTTAAATGAAAACCTTCTGCAAGGTCCGGATTATCTGAAATTATTACCAGGTGTTCTGAAGCGCTTTCGTCAATCGAAATGGGGTTTCTGTGGGGATATAACCCAGATGTTCCATAGGGTAAAAATTCGCAAGATGTTCACAGCGGTTTCTTTGGCGGAATGGCGAGCAACATAGGCAAATAGATGAATACGAGTTACAGGTGATGATGTTCGGTGCTTCTTGTTCTCCATGTTCCGCACAATATGTTAAAAATTTAAATGCTAAGCAATCGAAATATCCTGAATTGATTAAAGACGTCGAGAGAAATTTCCATGTTGATGACGATCTGGATTGTTATGATACAGAGCAAGAAGCACACTCAAAAATGGTAAGAATAATTGAACTCCATAAAAATGGTAGTTTCGATATTGTAAATTGGTATCCAAATTCACCTTTGGTTATCTCAAAATACGGAAACGAACATGTCGAAATATATTTCAATAAGTCATTGTTGGACCGCATTTTAAGAGTATGGTGGGATGTGAAATCTGATTCGTTTACATTTAAAGTCGTTTATCATATGGTTCCCAAAGAAATAACTGACGGTACGGTGATTCTCACAAAACGGCAAGTTTTGCAGTTTGTTATATCGATTTTTGATCTCTTAGGCTTTCTCACATTCTTGTCTATTAAGGAAAAATCATTCTACAGGCAATCTGGCGAACTGGCACAAGATGGAACGACAAGATTTCAAAAACAATCTTCCTTAGATGGTTAGAATGGTTGAAACGATGGGGAGTTCTTTTCACTTGTATGACAATTCATG